CAGGACTCAGACTATGTTTGGGTTCCCTGAATAACAGCTTACTTAGTGGTAGACCCCTGTCCCTAGCCTGTTTAGGGGGCACTAAGTTCCTTGTGTGTCTCAGGGGACAAGAACTGTCCAGTGTGAGGTCCATAAGAGTGATTCCCAACATGTTTGGGATTACAACACCTTATCACAGTGTGATTTTGCAACCCCCCTGCCAGAAAGAACTCGAAGGAATACATACAGTATTTGCATATTCTGTTTAGTACTTTTCCACACATGTAGTTGAAGGGAATTAAGATTAATTTGGCTTTAAAATGATCATCCCCCACCCCTCGGGAATTGCTGGCAATCAGTCTGGGGTGTCCTCCACAGGGTCGGGAAAGGCAGCTCTGAGGAGCTAGCTGTGCAGGCAGGTTCTGCCATGAGGGAGGCCACACCAGGCCTGGGAGTCCATCCCAGGGCAAGATATCTCTGGGCCATTCCCACACTCCCCCCGCCCTATACACACACACTCCAACAACAGGTTTCCAAGGCCCACCCAGCCCACACCTTCTCCTACTAAAGGCCCCCCCTCCTGGGAAGGAGAACAGGAGGGGCCTCGGCGCCTGGCATCTGGCCCCACTGGGTCCACACCCTCTGCACAGCCCTCAGGCAGAAAATGTTCCTGGAGCTGATGTGCAAGTCAGACCATTCCTGGTTTCTTCAGATGTTGTGATATCTGCTCCTGGCCCAGACCCAGGGCCCACCTCCCCCCAAGCTCCATAAGTTGAGCTGGTCTCATTGCTATTTAATCTTTCTTGAAATGTCAAAGATTTTGGAAATTCTATTCTCCTTTATATGTGGCTCCTCATGCCCATAACAATAACTATAGTTTCTGTTTATTAAGCTCCTTATGTGCCAGGCATTTTACAAACATGTAACACTCATAACAGTCTTTTGAGGTAGACACAATGATTTCCACTTCGCAGATGTGAAAACTGAGGCTCTAAGAATTAGTGATCTGTGCAAGGTCACACAACTACTGACAGAGACAGGAGTCAACACAGACCTGCCTGACCCCAAGCTTATGTATTGCTCTGAAAGTTCAGTGCACAAAGGAACCGAGAGATCATATAATCTTCCCCACTCCATTTACAAGACAGCTAAACTGGAAAATTCATTTACAATTATATAGTAATTAGTGCATGCCAAAAACTGTACTAGTACTCTATGAATATCAACTCAATTCATCCTCATTGTATTTCTATGAGATGGGTCCTTATTTTTACAAATGAGAAAACTGAGACACAGAGAGGAGAGTAAACTCGCCCAAGGCCACACAGCAAGTGGTGGAGTCTAGATGTGAAGCTGGCTCTAGAGCCTGTGCTGCCTCTCCAATCCCAGGAGCAGAGGCCCCCCCTTCTTAATTCTTAGTCCTTTGACCTTTGCACATGGCCACCTCTCTTCATCTTCCTGAGAGTCCACTCCAAACTCCAAACTTCCTCATCCGCTCTGGGTGGTGTTGGTATTCGCTTGTGAAACTGCTTTATGAAGCAACTTATTGTGCAAAAGCACATTTGATTAAGTCACTATCTCGATTACCCCCAAGAACTAAGAATTCTGGAAGGTTTAGGGAAGAAAAGACTTGTGACAATTTCTGTGGAAATTAACCAGTTAATAGTCAATCAATAGGCAAGGGTTTATTGAGAGCAGTGTTTGTCCCCAGCCCTGTGTTGGGCACTATGGGGTCATGAACACAAGACACACAGATATGCCCCCCTTGCCCCCCAAGGAAACCACAGTAAAGAAGACAGCATATAAGTGCACACTGTGTGTTGGGTCTGTGTACAGCCATATTTGAAAAGGTGTGTAGAAGAGGAAAGTCAGAAAAGTAGTCATGAAGGAGGTGGAATTCGAAGCAGTGTTTAAAGGTGCAGGGTTTGGATAAAAAGCAGTCCCGGCAAGAGAAACAACGGAAGTGTTTTCTGCGTCCAAATCTACTATATCCTCAGAAATAAACCAGACAGAGAAAAACCCGGAGTGGTTTGTGTTTTGATTTGGTTTGGTTTCTTTCTGCCAAGTTTTGCTATTTCCATGAAAATAAAGAAAAACTCTTCCCCTAGCCAGCACTACCATGATGATGCTTCTGAAATTGGAGAAGGGCGCTCTGCCCCTTAACGTCCACCAGGTGGCAGATCAATTGAAGGATCCCAGACCCTCCCTCAGATCGGCCACTTAGCACGGCAGGCGGGCAGTTGGTGGGAACGAGTCTTTACTGAGCTTCATATTCAGCCTAAAAGTTAGGGAAGAGATGGAGTGGAAGAGGAAGACGGGAGAGACTGAAAGGGAAAAGAGAAAAAGAGAAGCATTCAAGAGGCACTCTTCTCAGCAACGCACCTCCATGTACCGTGAAAGACCCTTCGAACAGCAGAAGGAGTTTCCATGGGTTCAGGCTACTCGTGCCTTCTGCTATAGTCTTAGCTGAGAAAAGTTTAATGCAAGGCTTGGGTGACTATGAAAGATGACACTGCTAGTCTAAGACTGGTTTCAGACAGCTGACTCCTGTTCTTTGGACAGGGGCAGCCAGTCCAGCCTCTGTAAGGAGGAATGCTAGTGGCTTTAGGGAGTAAACACCTCTTGGCCATCACCCCAGGCTCTGGTGTCATGCTGTGGGCTGTGTATGGCAGACGTGTCGGTGGCATCTTTCAGGACCCCTGAAGTCAACATTTAGGCTAACTGGACTCGCTCCTCCTCCCCCCACCAGCTGAGCCAGGGGCACAGGTTAGAAGTACCTAAGTGAGGTGGAATGGACACGATTTGAAGCCAGAAATCCTGACTTTTATCTATTTCTAATTAGCCATGCAAGTTTGAATGGGTGAACCAACTTCTTTGACCTTAGTTTCCTCATTTGTGAAAGAGATTAAATTAAATAATATCTCTGATGTGCCTTCCAGCTCTGAATTGTGAAAACGCACACTCCTTCGGCCAGAGGAACTGGGGAGTCAAGGGAACGGGAGCCGGGGGTGGGGGTGACTGGCATCGTGAGGATTAGCCCCCGCCTCCCCTCGCGATCACAATCGGCCGCCGAGCGGGGGCCACTGCGGCACGGCCCGCCCACCCCCGCCCACCCCCGGCGGTGCACACCCACGGCACTCTGAGAGACTTCTGGAATCTCGCTGGATTCCTCCCAGGAATGCTCATTGCCCTTTACATCTGCAAATCGCTTGACATCAGCAACCCTACGCGCGATTAGTAATCATGGCAATATTCCCTCCGCCCGTAAGAGGAATTACAGGGGTCCGGATGTATGCAGGTGAAATCAGAAGGTAATTTGCCAAGTATTATTACATATCATTCATTCAATCGTCAGTTACCTGAAGTTAATTAAGCGCCTAATAGGAGCAAGGCGCAAAGAGACACGCAAACCCAATTACTGCAGGGGTCGGAACTATCAAGGTCCTCAGAGAACTGCACTGACATCCCCATTATGTCACGGAGTGGGGGGAGCAGTTAGAGGTAATGGAAGGTCCCCACCCCCCGCCTGACAGCAGTGCGGCGACGACGACGGCCCCACCCCCCACAGGTCATTTTTCCAGGCCGGGGCGAGGAAAGTGGCCTTCCCAAGGTCACTTATCCCTGAGGGGCAACACTGACCCCAGAATGTCGGTCCTCAAAGCCTTCCACTACGGCATGGGCGACAATTTTGAGTTCAAGCCTATAAAACGTAAAACAGAATTAGGCGAGGGGTGGGTGTCTCCACGACTTCCGGGCACAGAGTGAGAAAATCGTGATCCCAGATCACCCACCCGGAGCAGACGAGACAGCCCCAAGTCTTGCCTGCAGCCGCGACCCGCAGAGACACACCGTCCATCAACCACCCTCGCCCTCTCCGGGGGTGGCCAGCGCCCCGCCCCCCGCCCCGGCTCGGGTCTCGGGGAAGGGCGGGGGGCGCGCGGAACGCAGGCCCGCAGCAAGCGCGGGGGCGTGGCCGGGGCGGGGGGCGGGGCGCGGCGGGAGTCCCGTTCCCAGCCCCCTCCGCAGTGGCGGCGCAGGGCCCTGCCAAACATGGGCCGAGCGGGAGC